CACTTAAACTTCACGGTTCCGGGAATGTTTACAGCATAATTTATCATGTGACAGTTCCTGGTTCTGGGAATGTTTACAGCATAATTTATCATGTGACAGTTTGTTGTTCTGGGAATGTATACAGCATAATTTATCATGCGACAGTTCCTGGTTCTTGGAATGTTTACAGCATAATTTATCATGTGACAGTTCGTGGTTCTTGGAATGTTTACAGCATAATTTATCATGTGACAGTTCGTGGTTCTTGGAATGTTTACAGCATAATTTATCATGTGACAGTTCGTGGTTCTTGGAATGTTTACAGCAGGTAAAAATAGGTTTGAATTAACAGTGTATATATCTTCATGCAACATGAACTGTCATGAAAAGTTCGTTGTTATTATTGGAATGCTGACATATCAGGGAATGTGATGAACATACAAGAGCCTTCAGTTCAATACAACAGTTCTATGCGGTTTATATTTAGTGCAAAGAATTTCTGTGCTGTAAACAAAACAGTTCAACTATTTAATTTCTAATAAATACTTCTACATTTTATTTGTTAATCAACACGATAAACTATTTAATTTTTAATAAACACCCGTACTTTCTTGTTGATAAACACGGTTAATTATGAAGTTGTTCATAAACATCTCTATTTATCTGTCTATTAGCACGGTTAACTTTTTTACTTGATGATAAATGTTATTATTTTTTCTGTTAACCGTGTTTATAGACAGATAAATAGTGATATTTATCATCAAGTAAAGAAGTTAACCGTGTTTATAGACTTAACCGTGTTTATAGACAGATAAATAGTGATATTTATCATCAAGTAAAGAAGTTAACCGTGTTTATAGACAGATAAATAGTGATATTTATCATCAAGTAAAGAAGTTAACCGTGTTTATAGACAGTTAAAAGGGATATTTATCATCAAGGAAAATTTTTTTACTTGATGATAATTACTACTATTTATCTGTTGATAAACACGATTATTTGTTAAGTTGCTGATAAACACCACTACTATTTATCTGATAATGAACACATTTAGCTATATATCTGTTGTTATATAAGTTATATGAATCTGTTAATTAGCATAACTTCATTGTTTTATTGTAAGATTCACTGCTTGAGTGGTAAAAGTCTAAAAGACTTTACTGTAAACTTTATTCGAGCGTAAGCTCAAATCTAAGGTTTACATCTGGTGGTAACAGTTATTTTTCTTGGTTGGTTCATTGTAAGATTTACTTCAATTATAAATTCAATCACTATCTTGAGGGTTTAACGTAACAATAACAAGTATACAGTCTAAATTAATTTGTTAGGTTTACCTATAGTGGTGAAGATAGTTCCGCAGTAAAACATTGCCCCCACGAATGTCCACTGTTTACTGTCTGGATTCGTTTTGACGCTGCTGTTAACAGATTGTAACACCTGTTCTTCATATTTCATGAATCGCCGGAACGCCTGCTCTCGCCAGTCTTCTTCAGTATCGTGGCGCTCGTACAGATCCCAAAGGTCTTTAATTATTAGTTTGCGGATATTTTCGAAGCCTACTTTTCCTTGCGTTTCCACAGGACCTTCGATCAGTTGAAAGATGACAGCCCCTAAGGCGGCGTATCCGAAGAGAAAGAACAACAGCAGCACGTGGGTGAACCACTTCTCAGATACCGCCTTTATTTTCTCAGCATATCTCACGATTCTGGATTCTTTTCTCTCTGTTAAGGTAACAATGTGCATTGGGTTGACCACGCACATACTGGGCACGCGCGGCCATCCTGACCAGCCACAATTAGGCAAGTTAGAGGGTCGTCCGTACAGATGTGGCTTTACTCCGATAGCGCTATCTGGTAGCTCAGATCTCTCTTGCGCTGGATGTGGGGTGGTTGCCATTGCTTGGGACGCAACGGGACTTTGAACCGTACGTTGTGTCGATATCAGCGGAAGCAAAATATATATTTCTCCCTAACAGAAAGACGTCCATACTCTTATCCAATCACACTTTGGTGAAGTTTTCTGATCACCGAGAGCCGTCCTATCAGCCCATCGGCATGATAAACGCTCGTGAGTAGTTCGTTTTCCTCGGAGTTTCTCCGTTTAGTGACGGGCCCAAGCTTCGTCTCGTCTGCGAGACTTCTAACTGCCTTTCCTGGCCCGTAATATATGATACTGAAAGATGCTCCAAGTACGAATGAAAAACAGTTAGTTTTAGCGACGGCGGAGTGCACTTGCTATAGCCGCTGAAAATATCTTATTGCGCGTGTAACATCTCGAGCTCCACACTACCTCATTGTTCACCTAACGATCAAAGTGGATAACTTGAAACACGTCAGGCTTTGATGTAGTTTTCTATTTGAAGAAGATCATGCCATTCTTTCTCCAATTTAGCGCTAGCTTTGTCCAGATAAACTTACTTTTCAAGTTATACAACTGTTTTTGTGTTTTATATCCTTTGTTCGCATAGTTTAAAATACATTGTACAGTTTAATACGCACGAGCACGCCTTCTACAAAGTACATTTTTCAATGCTGGTTTGTCATGCCTCTATTTTTTTAGATTTTGGACTGAATTTGCAGATACTTGTGATATTGAAGAGTAAAAAAAAACATTAAAAGATTAATGTCATATTTGTATTTTTCTAATGAATCTTCTCTCTCTTATATCTATCGTTCCATAATAAAATTAACTTATAAAACATGAAAGTAACTAATAAATTAATCCAAAAATTTGATGTTTCGCCTACTCATCAAAAATAGTCAAAACTTTTTGATTTAATCGAAACGTAAATTTATAAAACTTGACCATTCTTCTAATGGGAGTTTTAAAAAAAAAGATTTTATTTTTAAGGAAGAATATCTTTAATTTCCCAAATTAAAAGGAGCTATCAGTTAGCAATATATATATTAAAACAGAAAAAATTATAAAAATGTATATATTTTACTAGCGTTAGATGGAGCTTTTTATTCCAATCCGTGATCGCACATACATTTTTACTGTTTGCTACTTTGTAACGGTCTAAAATAACACGCTACTACAACCAGGGTTCAAAAACAAACAAAAAAAAAGTTATTAAACTCTAACAACACTTGGAATAAACCTTAGCAATTACCAAAAACACAGTTAATATACACCGGGACTTCATACTAATAATAAAACAATAAAACATGAATATCAATATTAATAATTTTAAATAACAGAATCAGGAAAAAAAAACAGAAGAAGAAAATACCTAATTAAAGAAAAATAAAAAATTTCAAACTTGCTTTTCTATATTACTAACAATATCGAGTGCCAACAATAATTCACTGACTACTTCGTGACTCGGTTTATGAAGCTTATGGTAGGGTATTTATTCATTGCTTAGGTCACAACTTAGAAATTTGAAACGTGTTTTTCCTGAATTAACAGCATCTGCTGATTCATAAAGCTATTTTCCACGTCAATAATTTAACAATTATTAGGTATTTATAGCAGAATGAAAGAATCAAATGTCAAATATCAAAGTATACAATGAACATCGCGTGATACTAGATTCTGATGTTAATTCTTCACAATTATAATATAATAAATGAATAGTTTATTAAAATAGTGGGCTTATGAATGTGATCCTTGCTGAGACAAACCCCCAAAATAATTAATAATTTTGAGAAAAGTTTTGAAAATGAGTGAAAAAAATATTGGAAATTTGAAAACAATTATCTATCTTTTTATTTGAATTCACCGAAAAATTAAATCATGGCCATGATTTTATTTTCTGCTGATAACTTTAATTATGCTCTTATTAAATTTTATTTAAATTCAAGTACCAAACGAAATAATTTTTCTAATTCCAATATTGTTTTTTTTCGGTTATTGTTTTAAAGTTAATTTACAATCTGAAAGACATTCAATTAATTTAGACACTTGTACGTTTTAAAAAAATTTGTTTAAACTAATATAGGTTTTTAAAAAATCTGTTTGAACTAATATAGGTTTTTTTAAAAAAATCTGTTTAAACTAATACAAGTTTTTAAAGAATCTGTTTAAACTAATACAAGTTTTTTAAAGAATCTGTGTAAACTAATATAAGTTTTTTAAAGATTCTGTTTAAACTATTATAAGTTTTTAAAGATTCTGTTTAAACTAATATAAGTTTTTTAAAGATTCTGTTTAAACTATTATAAGTTTTTAAGAACCTGTTTAAACTCTTTTAGCTTTTTTAAAGAATCTGTTTAATCTCTTGTAAGCCTTATTAGATAAATATGTTTAAACTATTATACGTTTTTTTAAAGAATCCATTTAAACACTTGTAAGAATCCGTTTAGAGTTTTGTAAGCGTGGGCAAGGAAAGAATCATTTAGTCTTGTAAGTGTAAGCATGGAAAGTGATCAAAAATCATTTGTCTGCAACAGGACATTATGACAATATCAAGGCTCTGACTTTTGACAAAGGTGGCGCTAAATGGCGGCTTGAGGGATATAGCCACCCCAAAATTTACATTGGATACACCAAACAACGCGTCCAACACGCTGGGGATCTACACATTTTGACATATTTACTCTCTCATGACCCCAAGCTCCATCTATGGGATTCGATAATGCTTTTGATGTTGAGAAAATTCAAATTATTACTTCATACTTTTGACTGAACCACTGATCAAGTTATACATAAGCTACATTCAGCCGCTTGAACAATGTGGAATATTTTATGGAATTGACTTTTGACTAGGAAACTACCCGACCACACTGTATAGTAGTTTACGCTCTAACTTAGCTTTACTGTATAGTTGTTGACACTACTTAGCCTTACTATATAGTAGATTACGCTCTAACTTAGCTTTACTGTACAGTTGTTGACACTACTTAGCCTTACTATATAGTAGATTACGCTCTAACTTAGCTTTACTGTATAGTTGTTAACACTACGTAGCCTTACTGTATAGTAGTTTACTCTCTATCTTAGCTTTACTTTACTAAGCCTTTATTCATAAATTAAAAACCATAGTCTCCTTTTTATTCAGTGTGCTAGTAAAATTTGCATGTAAGACACTACCTGTGTTTTTCTTGGATAACTTGAGTATTTGTCCTTAATTTATAGTTCATGTGCACAAGCGAAATATTTATATATAACTTATCCACTTCTGATAACATAACTAGTTACTGCTATACTTTTGATAGTTGTTCAAATGGTTACAATTTTAATCTTCAATCACCGTTAAAGGGTTTTTATGTGTATGTCAAACAAAATGTAAAAATTCTTACTTTCTATCTCTTTTAAAGAGTGTTGTATTGATTGAACCGATTATCATTATAGAATGTTTTTACGTGTTACAATACATAAGGGTATATTTTAATAATATATTTTGCCAAATAGTTACTGAATTGTATCATTAGTAAAGGGTTGGGTTTGTCTGTCCTATCTACATGTATTGTTAAATAAGTGTTTTACAGGGGTACATATAAATTACAATGGTTACCTAATTAGTTCGCAGCATTTGTTTTTGCTTTTTATTATTGTATCTCTAAATTAAAATTAAAAGTCGACTTGGGGCAAGTCTAAGATAAAGGGAAGGGGAAATGTAGTATAAAAATCATACCAGATATATATTTTCCTTTTAGTTTAAACGAGTGAACATTTCTTGTTCCCCTAAAAGTTACAAACATAACCACATACATAATGTGGCAAATTTACAGTTGCCTTGGTTACTTAGTGTTGTAGGTAATTACCCTTTGGTGTCACCAAAAGTTTTCTTATGTAAGAGTTTGCTCTATAACTATTTGGATTTCCGTGCTATGTAGTTTTTGTAGAGTTTTGTTCATATGGTGAGCTTTATGACATCTCGAGGATATATTCTCCCTATTCTTTACTGGTGGAATAGCCAATGTTTTGACTAATGCATTCTGGAAGAGCTAATCCAGTTGTTTTCTGTTTATAGTCGCTATAGTTTGTTAGTCTTAGTGAGATTTTCAGAGATTGGCGTCATATTTCTTTCAATATTTTTGAACTAAAGAGTTTTCTCCATTTAGAGAGCAGTGCTCTCTAGTGTCTTTTTGTACTAGTTACTCTGTTTTATATTGATAAGCATTTTTTACTTTGTTTTTTATTTAATTTGGTCTCTTTCTTTAAACTCAGTCAGAAATTCAGATTTAATTCCACATATCGTTTTCTGTCATTGCTCCTGTTGTTGTGGACATTGACCCTGCCTACAGTATAATAAGTCCAACGGAGAATACCACACCATCTGTCCAGTTGTGAGGTTAAAAACGAAGGATCGATATTTTTATTGTAGTTCTTGTGCATTTGCTATTTTAAGAGCTTTCTACGTCCAGGTGGAGTCTTAATGTACAAACCTGAATAGTGACCTGAGGTTTTTTTTTTACTTACTTAAGGTAAAGCCTGGTGAAGTAATTACATTGTTAAAAGTGACATAATCATATTGTTTGTTTTGAATTTCGCGCAGATCTACACGAGGGCTATCTGCGCTAGCCGTCCCTAATTTCGCAGTGTAAGACTAGAGGGAAGGCAGCTAG